TTTCTGATTTTCTGTGACAACATGTAATTTCTGTACAGCTGAGTAATTTGTTTAAAAACAACAAGTTCTTGTATACTAATTTTTGCTTCTTTTTTAAAGCCAGGTACAAATCTTTCCCACTGAGAAGTGTGTATCACTTATGCACTGATGATTGATGGTGAAGATCAGAATTTTATCAAGACAATTAATCTTAACGTTTTCTTAACATTGAGCTGCCCCTGATAACAAGTAAACAAATAACCTGAGACTAGTAATTATATGTGCATTGAAATGAGCTATTTCTTGAAGACCTCTAGTCAAATGTATTTAGAAACCACTGCAGGAATAAAATATTTTTTACTTCCCTGAAACAATTTTAAGTCTTTTTACCACGTGATAGGTCTAAATCTTTTAACCCCACGATACGTTTCATTTCTCTCTCATTTTAACACCTTCCCCCTGAAATTGCTAGTTTTAGGTACATTGTAAAAACTCCGTCCAACATCCAGATATTGAGGGTATAGTTCACTGAATGTTGTTGGTTTGTACTGCTTGTTTACATATTGAAGTAGAGCTGGGTAATCGTTACCATAGCGTACACAAAATCCGTTATTGAGGAGCCCTGGCTGAAAACTAAGCTTCCTCCTGGAATAAGGCAGCTAAAACAGAAGTCGTGATCTGCCCATTGACCTGTTAGAGAAGCTATGCACATGATCGGGAGTCAGTTGCCAATTATGCTCCCTCTTTTCTTCCTCCTAGCAGCCTGTGAGCAGGGAGAAGGGAAAATAACTCACTCCAGGAAAAGAAAGAGGAGAGTCCTGCTTCTTCCTCCATGCTAACTTACGGAGGTTGATAAAGTTACAGCACTGAAAGGTAAAAGTGCTGCCCTACAGCTCCTCTTTTTTGTTGAGGTGGTAAACTCAAGGTAGAAGCTGTAGGGCAGAAGCAATGGGAAGACAACTCAGAGATGCTACATGCCTGTTAAAGGAGAAATTAAAACTGCTACTTAGTATTAACAGGTTCTAATGGAATATATAGTACCTACAGTTTTGAAGTGCACCTCACCCAGTCTGGAGCCATTTTCAAGCTTCATTCTGCTCATCAACAATTTCTTCACATACAGAGATTTTTGAAGCCATCAGGTATTGCATCATCATCAATACATTGCAGTTCTCACATCCACTCACTGACAGTTGTCCAAATTTGAAAAAAGTAGTTCTGTGATGAAGCCAGACAAACGTGCAATGAAACTGGGTTGATCTGCTTAATCCCTCTGTTCTTCTGACAATTTGCTAAGGTTTTTGTAGCTGAACTTCACTATCTCACATCTTAACATCTTTGACTTCCCTTCTCTTGACTGCTGCTTCCTGTCGTCCTTATGCCACTGCCCTTCCCTCCCAACTCATCCTTCATTGAAGTCGTCTGCTGCTTGCAGCCTGAGAATACACCTGGCAGGATCTCATAAACGCACCTGCACTGCATTTCTGAAATGCAACTGGGTAATGACAGGATACTATTAATGAGAAGAAACGGCTCTCCACAGTAGCAGCTGTAAAGAAAGAAAGGGAGCACTGATACTCTCCCTCTTTCACTGACTATCTCGTTAAGATATCTGAGATGGTGCTTTCCAAGCAGTACTTGCAGTCCTCTCATTTTAATTAGCTAATGGGTTTAGCTTCCAGATTTTTTAGGCATATTTGAGGCACAGGGGTTTTAATCATGAAAGATCTTGCATATACTTTGCATATTATTTTTTTTTCTGATGAAATTAAGTTCCCCAAACAAAAAAGAAGTCATACAAGAAGAGCAGGCAGGATAGAGTTCAACGACTGACTTCAGGCATGCAGAAGTGCTTAGTTCAGCATACTCACCTACGATCTTCCTAATAAGCAATAAATAGGTATAGGTGCCACAAGGAGTTAATTCATCCATCTGCTTTAGAAGTATGTCACTGCTCATCAATGGACTACTTAGGTGCTACCTGGGCAAGCAGCTTGGATGCACATATTTAAATAAACTTATATAAAACAAATTCCACCTACAGTGCATAGCGTTAATTACATATGCAATTATATACAGCTTTTGGGTTGTTGGGTTTTTTTAGGAGAAATAGGGTGGAAATGAGGATCAAGGCCTAATTTGCCTATCTTCCATTCACAGATACCACCTCCTTGGGGTGTATTGATGATAAAGGAAGATTGAAATAGATTATCAGATTACCATCACTCCAACAAATCCACTGTAGGTTTCAATGTACCCTTTTATTTCCTCACCTTATTTATTTGAAGGAATTCACGCCTATAAAATCCCCAAAACATTATTCCTAAGCGTTAATTCCAAGTAAAATTCTGGAAGCAGTGTTTCAGTTATTACGAAGCACATACTCAGGATTTTTCACAACAGAAAGACAATGAAACAAAGGAAAAGTTTTTTGTGCCATCAGCATTGTTCATGCAACATGGTGACTATCTGAGAGAACAATCAGCTGACTTTTGCTCAATGAAAAGCCCATAGGAGATCCCTAGAAAGTATGTAGAACGATATATATAGAATAATTAGAAGGTATGGGGTAGGTAGCAGGCTTAGAATGTTCGATTATCAGAAATAAAGATCTGCTGAAATCAATTGTCTGAATATAGCAACCTTGATGACAAAAATGGGAGGTGTGTGGGGTGTGGGTTTTGCTTTCCAGCATCATTGCTGAGGAAAAACAGCAATGTCAAATCAACTGCCTGAATAAGACAGATATGCACATAAGGTCTGAGAATAGGACAACCATCCTTGAAGCTGTCGAGTGATTAGTTAAGAAACTCTCCATCAAGAGTTGGCTATCCTTGAATGAGGAACATCCCAGAAAACATAGAACCTTTGTTACCATGTTTTGGATTGTCAGCATGTGCAGCGGTAACTAGGGGAAGGTAATTCCGGCAGGGGGAGATTGCAAAGTCTCACTCATGGACCACTTTCCCTAAATGTACCCCAGGCTCCAAAGAAAGGGGCTGAGGCAATGGACTGGGCATGCAAACTAATTTACATCCCAGGCAAGAGAAAATTAAGCAATTGTCTAAGAGAATAACACTGAATACATAAATATGCTAATGCACACTGTATAAATGCTCTCCGAGTTTCGGAAGGGGTGTGCTGTCCTGGGACAGGCACCCATCTCCGCACAAAAATGTAATAAATGCTTCGATTCGGTGTGTATATTGGTGTTCTGCACACCGGGTGAATGAACCTCCGATTTGGGACAACAGCCCAACGGACACAGTGCTTGCCGTGGGAGTTTGGGCAACTGCACTGCTTGTCGCTGGAGTCTGAGTAGAGCACCTGCATCTGAACGGAGCACCAGCAGCAGGCGGAGTGGAGCAACCACGGCAAGCACCAGGCTCCAAGGAGCCGTACCAGGCACGGGGGTCTGAGTAATCTCAGGGTCTGTTGTGAAGGTCAGAGCAGCTGCAGCGTCTGTCGCGAGCCTGAGGCAGCAGCTCTGGTTAATGCTGATAACAAACTGGGTGATCTTTTTTAATTAGTTGATCAACTCTAATTATATACATAATTAGACATACATTCAGGAGTCCTGGCAACAGGGTCATGAGGATCATGCTGGTTTGAACACCCCAAGGATATTCAAAATTCTTAAGAATTTTTGTAAATGGTCTGGAGGAGAACCCCATGTATTGGCTCCTCAAGGAGAAAAATGCAACTGGTGTATCAGTAACAACGCTCTCCAGAAGGCTCCTGAAGTACGGAAATGAAGCTGGCAACTCTGCTCCGCTCCACACACCACCCGCCATCACTGAATACCAATACAAAATTGGTCTCACCACCCACAATTTCCTCATGCCAGAAGCCAGCACCCCACAGCACAGCACAGCAATACTCTTAACCCACAAAATGATATCCTTAATCCTAAACCAGCACCTAAAGACAGTAACCCATGCATACACACTGGCAAACAGCATGTAGGGCAAGTAAGGTGCTACATAACACAACTCTGAAAACAACTCTAAAAGCAAAAAAAACCCCACCAACATTCCAACTAGTGACGTCCAAGAAAACATAATGAACGCTTACAGCAAATTTGTTCTAACACACTCTGGGTCAAATCTGTCATTATGTCAACCCTTTGTGCCCCATGCTGGGTGTCAAAAAGGACTGTGGTGCTTTAACCCCAGTTGGCAACTAAACACCATGCAGCCGCTCGCTCACCTTCCCCTGCCTTGAGGGATGGAGAAAAGAATCAAAGGGGAAAAGGGTTGAAATAAGAACAATTTAATAACTGAAATAAAGTAAAACAATGATAAAAATAACTAAAAAGATAGAACATACAAATGAGTGATGCCCAGTGCAATTGCTCACCACCCACTGGCCAATGCCCAGCCCATGTCCAGCTAGCGATCCTGAAGAAGAGAAGTTCCAAAACTGTAATCTCAGAAGACAGAGAGCCCCATCTTCCCAGTCGACCCTTATCTATACACTGAGCATGACGTTGCATGGTATGGAATATTCCATTGGCTGATTTGGGCCTAAGCCCATATCCTAAAGCAGTGATTGTGGGTCTGTTGCTCCGGCTGTGCTCCCTCCCAACTTGTTGCATGCCTGCACACTGGCAAAGCATGGGAAGTTGAAAAGTCCTTGATGTCTTGGCAATAGCTAAAAACATCAGTATATTATCAACATTGTTCTCACACCAAATCCTGTACTAAATTCAAAACACAGCGTTATTCTACCTACTAAGAAGAAAATTAACTCTATCCCAGACAAAACCAGGACACAGTAACAAAATCATTATTAATACATCAAAATGTTAAAACATTAATACATTAATACTTCAATACATTAATATATCAATATGTTAATACATCAGGTAAAAATTAAGTTTGCTCCCAAGCCAGTGTTCATTCTTCCATGATCATCTAGGTCCTTCTTGTTTTGAGGTGCTTCAGTGAAAGCTACGGCTGAATAAACAAAATAGATTTATGCAAGAATGACATAGATTCAACAATTTCTAAGAAAAGATGTCATATAGATATAGGAGCAGGATGCTCATGAACACAGCCGGGACAGCAGTGCAGAGAATCATGAACAAACAAATCGCATTCCACGCAAAAGGCATTCTGACACACTTTACATATGTAAACCTGGGTGGAAAAGACAGAAAAACAAGTCAAATTAGAAAAAAATTACCACCATCATAGCACTACACTAGGGCAACAGTTATGTCATTAAGACAGTGTAAATAGACTAGATATATTGCTCGTGTCACAGAAACCCAAGTGAATCAAAGTTTCTAAGAGCAAGTATGTTCAAAGGGCTGAGGTCAGGTCACTGTAGATGCTTCCAAATGGCTAAGAGCAGAAGCTTATTTATGCAACTCTCTAGGAAATCCCTTCTCACACTTTCACAGACTTTGCAGTCTAAAAGACGTCACTCCATAACAGAGAACTCTAGTTAACCATGAGGTAAACTTCCACAAATATTTTTCTAGTCTTTGGAAGACTACACTAAAGGATTACCTCTACTTCTGACACCCCTCAATGCAAATTCCAATGTAGTTCAACATACTCACATTTTGATCTTTCATTTCTCCCTGGCAGCCTTGACAATACCTGAAAGCAAAATTGTGTATTTTAACTTAAAAAATTAAGATTTTTTAAGATTAAGATCATATGAGGTGTCTTTAAAACACCATTTTACACATAGTAGCAATTTATGGCAATTACTTCAGCTATTCAACTGAACACACAGGATAACTGTTAACAGGAACTGCAAATATTTCTTATTGCCACAGGTGCCCAAAAACACCCAAACATTCAACACTGTCTCCAGCAGCAAAGAAGCTGCTGCTAGCTTTTCTTACTTTCACGAAAAAAAAGTCACAACTACAGTCATTCTCACAGATATGATTTACATACCGTTCCCCCTGATACTCTTCCAGAGGAACTTCCTGAAAGGCATCCAAAGGAAACAAGTGATGGTAAGACCGAGCCAGGTGAGGTGCAGACACTAATGTAAGACCTGCAAATAAAGCGACATCGAAATTATTACAACAGAGGATTTACTGAAAAACCTTTTCTGTATTAAAAAACAAAATGGATGAAACAGTTTTTAATTACTCAGTGGTTCAGAGCTTTTAAGAATTAAGTCTTCTGATTAAATCTAAATGCACAACCCCTATTTGGCAACAATGGTTCTGCTGTTTCACATCACCAATTAAAACGGTGCCCAACTACAAAGCTCTACTGCAGCCTGCTATGATACTGCTGAAGCCATGCCACAGCCCTGTTTCAGGCAACTTGAGGTCTGCTGGTTTGGGCTGGGATAGAGTTTCTTCACAGTAGCTTGTGGGGGACTATGTTTTGGATTTATGCTGGAAACACTGTTGACAACACAGGGATGCCTTAGTTACTGCTGAGCAGTGCTTACACAGTGTCAGGGCCTTTTCTGCACCTCACACTGCCCTGTCAGCTGGGAGTGCACAAGGAGCTGGGTGGTGACACAGCTGGGACAGCTGACCCCAACTAACCAAAAGGATGTTTCACACCATAAGATGTCATGCTCTGCAATAAAAGCTGGGGGAAGGCAGTGGAGGGGTGAGGACATTTGAAGTTATGGCATCTGTCTTCTCAAGTAACTGTTACACGTGATGGAGCCCTGCTTTTCTGGAGATAGCTGCTGTTGGGAAGCAGTGAAAGAATTCCTTACTTTGCTTTGCTTGTACGCACAGCTTTTGCTTTATCTATCAAATTGTCTTCATCTCAAGCCATGAGTTTTCTCACTTTTACCCTTGCCATTCTCTGCCGGGGGGGGGGGGAAGTGAGTGAGTGGCTGTGCGAGGCTTAGTTGCCAGCTAGGGTTAAACCATGACGACAGGCTAGTGTTAGCTGGGGCACGGGCTGGCACATACTTCTTCATCACTCACTCATATGCAGTGTAAAATTCTGAGCTCTTGTTCTGCTGACAGCTGCATCTGTGGAGAAATCTGTTGCTGATACAAAGGATTTCTCCAGTTACACTATTACCTTGGTGAAACGAAACTCATGCAGACATGAAAACCTTGACATGAAACTAGGACAAAGTGACGCAAAACTAGAGTTATTTCATCCTCTTGCCAAATACACGCCATCTTGCTAATACTTATCATATTTTAGTCATATGCCAGTAGAAGCTAAAAGGAAGACAGCTGTTGCTCACACAATATTCGTACTATAAAAAAATGCTGATCTTCCCTCCCACTCTCATGGAGGAGGCACCACTGGTTGCACAGGCCATTAACATTTGCAAGACTGCAGGGCTTCCGGTTACAACTCTATAGCCTTTCACGTGTCACTGTGCAGCCTGCCTTTGGGTTCAACTTTGAAACCTTTCATCCACATTCTCCTAGAGGTGAGGGGATACTTCTGTCCTTTCACTCCAAAGCACTCTTTATTTTCATGGCCTTGCACTGAGGAGTCTGAAACACTGGTGTGCCTGTTAAATCAGGATTCTTAAGGAAATTATTACTTCCTTTGCTTCAGGGCTTTTAGTTTATAAAATTATACTAGGGAATGTGATACAGCTTTACTGTTACAGCTATGGTCCTGAAAGTCCCCTGTATGAAGCTGACAACCCAGGACACAGGAATGCAGGCTTCTTAAAGCAAAGCTGGCTTTTAATTTCCAAGTATAGTTGAATTTTTCTACCCCTTAACTCTCTTACCACTAACTCGTAATTTATCTCACCTTTTCTTGCTACTCACCACAGATTTTGCATTCCACAGGAAGTTCACAGTATTTGGCTCTGCACTGAGGACAGAAATATCCACCCAGGGTAAGACCTGGCTCACTGTTGTTTTCCAATTGCCTACGGTACAAAGAGACGATTTAATACCAAAGAGGTAACACCATAATACTACCTGACTACAAATACTACATAGTTCTCACAGCAAATAGTTTAAAAAGTTTCAGTAGCTTCCATGCAACAGTTCCACACCTATGGAAGTGTCAGAAGTGTGACATATCAGTAACCACATTTTCGCACAGAAACAGAACAAAGATCAAATTTTCCCATATAGAAGAGTCAATATATCTTTAAAAAATAAAGTTACGAAAGATAACAGTACAACATAACTAAAAGCTATTTACTATATTCCAAAAATTTTAAATATAAATTTAAAAAAGCATATTTAACAGAGGTAACTATGGCCACATACTGGAAGTGCAAATGAAAATAACATTTCTACTAAGAAGTCACAAGACATTGCTTACTATTTTTTTCATGTTATTCTGCAATATTTTCACTGAAAAGCAGATTTTCTAAATATTACTAATTATCATCGAATTCTAATCAGCTCTTTGAATTCTAATCAATTCTACTTACGCCATGCTAAAGGATGGCTTTGCATCTTGATCAGACAGAGACGCAATAGTATGCTGAGGAAAACCTGAAGAGAAAAACATCACATATTACCAATTTTAAACACACAAGTAATCTTTCAGTTTCCTACTTAAATAAAGAAGTTCAAAGATTATTCTAAACAGTAAAGCCCATCTCTTTTTTTGTTTGTTTCTTATTACAGGAGAAGTAATACACTCTTACTAGGTATCAAATTCGTCCTAAAGGTCTCTACCTACATCCCTCATTGTATTCCCCCCAACTGAAAACAATCTTTTCACAGACTTTGTTATTAACTGAAGCTCACTGGAACCCCATTTTTGAATAACAGCTAAAAACAAAATGAAGCGCAACCACAGGAAAGCAGAAAGTGCACTGCAAGAATGTTTACTTGAATGATGGTTTCTAATTAGGGGGAAAATATTTTTATATGCAGACAACAAGCATATATCCACCTCCCAAGTGCAGTATATGACAGACGAGACTATAGTGCTTTATGGAGGCTGTAACAGATATCATTCTTTCTATCACTTAATTTTTAAAGCTCACGTCAAGCAGGCAGTTAATTTTTCTGCCTGCTGCTCAGGCTTTACCTATAACAAGTAAATCTCTTAGATATTTAAACCAATGCAAACTCTTATCTGTGAAAACAGGTGAATGAAAGTGAGAAATCAATTCTCTAATTCGTGGCATTAAGAGTTCTTATTCTGGTTTAAATCCAAAGTTAAATTTATTGAGAAATACACTAGGAGAAGAAAAGTTACGTCACCCATTTGTTGAAAGAACACCACAAAGGTGCTCCTAACAAACAGGTACTACATGGCCAAAAAGATAGCTTTTATAGTCAACTAAACTTATAACAGGTGCCTTCTGCAGGGGAAAAAAAAAAAAACAAAGGAAGAAATAAAATACAGTTTTTCATCCTTCATTTTTAAGTATTATCTTTACACCAATTACTGTACAAGCAAAATCATTTAATCTTAATGTTTCCAGCTGCAGTTGAGTAATTTGTCTTATTTAATTCTTAAAATGTATTTAAAAGCTGACTACTTTGCAAGAACAACATTAAGAAAATGGATATCTATTTACCAAAATAAAAAACCAACAACTGTGCAGTGTTTATATTATGCTTCTAACCGTTTGTATGGCTTTAACACAGAAGATTCAGACAAAGAAAAAGACACAAGGTTCACAAATCTTGTTTTAGGACTTTAACAACTATATCCTACCCATTCGGATAAGGGAGCACTCAGAACTTGAACTGGCAGGTGGAGGACTAACATGATGCATCAGCAGCTCCTTGTAATGACTTTCATCTAAGATAACATGGTATGTTCCTGTCAAGATGAAAGAAATGCTTTACTCTCAGATTATGGTAAGAAATACAAACACATTCTCCAAATGACAGAAAATAACTTAAGTTAACTTAGCCAACTCTGTTCCTAAAAAAAAAAGTAGTTAACGCTACTGAAAATAACAAGTTTTAAAACTAGTAACACCAGAAAGTTTAATTACATATGAAGGCCCATAGCTTTTTCTCCAACATTACACTGCAGTAATGACACTGTAAGAGTTACCACTGTAGTAACTGATATTAACATGTTATATTAATTAAATTTCACATCATATAGCTTTAAATGTGGAGCACTAGGTTTTAAAATGTTATGTATTCCTTCTCTCTAGAGATGCAGCTATCAGCTGATAATCTCACTAAATACTGAGTATTTTGTAGATCTGGGAAACCCTTAAATTTTCAGACAGCACAACAGGATATTTATCCTTAAATATCAAAATGCATTAATGATTATATGACAAATTAGTTACTTAATTTTGATTTTAAACTTGTATTAGTAGTATAACTACAGAACTTCAGATACATACCACCAGTTTCTCGGGCAAGTACTGTACAAACTCGAACTTCAGCACTTAGGCCGATGACAGATACTCTGATCTTAACTGCTTTTAAACACTTCACATGGAAAAAGAAAGCATACTCAAATTCATATGCAGAATACAAAACAGCAAAAAAGTTCAAAGTGTTAAAAGAAAATTCATTGGCAATGACGCCATAACTGTCTGTTTTTAGTCTAATAGCTCAGATGTCCAATGTAGTAGTCAAACTTCACTTCTGTACCTTAATTAGATCATAGATGTTGGCTGGATCACATGTCGTCAGACTGCTGAAGACTACCAAAACCTCTCTGCTTGTATGTCCTGGCATGTGCCTAAAGAAAGTATATAGTTGATTTACTTCTGTACACTAAGCTACTTGTATGCTAAAGTTTCCAAGGACTTTAATGCACTAAAGTCAGAAGATGACATAAGAAGTTCCATACAAATTATAAAATAATGTGGTAAGATCCTTCTCTGAGCACCAGAATTCCACCTTTCAAAAGTCAAACCTTTCCAGTATCTCAAGTACAGTATTTGATTGTGTAGTTGTTATTTGATTATTTGCTCTAATGCTTAAGTTATCCCTGTACCTTATCTGTACTCTCACAGGTAAAATTCACCTTCAAATTAGCAACACTGCAGTAAGACTTCTTGAAATAAAAATCTCTAATCAGTTTAAGGGTGTAAATCTACTACTTTTAATTACTGTCTTTTAGTTCTTAATAGAAAACTCTCTTCCAACTAATGATTCAAATAATTTTTTACAACATTGTCTACTAGCTTTGTTCTGTTAGTGTTTCTAGCTATAACTACTTGTTTAAAGCTGTCTTTCACAAATGTTTTCCATCTCAATACCTCACATAACAAAATACTTTGAGTTTATCCTGCCCAATAATCTACCTTTCTAAAGTATGCTCAAACTCCCATCAGATTATTGTGATTCAATGCTGTTTATTTTTCTGTTCTCTTATCATTATTAATCCTTAACTGCCTTCTCTCATACTTTAGCCCTCTAGTAAAAAATCATTGCAAAGTCTTTCATCGCTATATTCATACACAACGAAAAATGACCTACTTAATTTTAAAATAGTTGCTTTTTATAAGCACACCTCTAAATAGAAGCATCTTGTGTTAGAAAATTAACTTTTGCACTACTAGCATTATTTGAATTCTTAACAGTTTGTACTGTAAGAGGAGATAAAGCTGCCTTTTAAAGACACAGATCAGCATGATGCAAGATGCTACTTGCAAAAAAATATTGTCTCTGCCCCTCCAAAAATTCACAATCAGCATTACACTGATTATATAAAACTAAGAAAACAAAAAAACCTCGATGTATATACTAACTTTAAAGTCTGCATAGCCAAATTTAGGGAATTATATAGAGATGGCTCTCCACTGCAGTTCATATCCACTGCTTTCTTCAGAGCAGTCATGTGCTTTTTTGAGTTCCCTGTAAGAAAAAAAAAAACAAGTTAAAAGAATTAAAATATTTAAACTATATATTTAATGAAGTGTACTTGTAAACCAACAGTTTTCAAACTGTGACTCGTAACTCGTGTTCCTCCTTAGAAATTGACCTCTTGATCAGAATGTAGAAAAAAATAAAACAATGTATTAACAGGAAGACATTTACAGGCACTCAATTGTTAGAAACTTTAAGAAGTCAAAAATAGTAAAATCACTGTTGGATATCATTAAGCACTTAACATGACTGTGAAGTGTCTCACAAAGTGTTTCAGTAGAAACAGAGTTTAGTTTTCTCTGTTGTCTCTGAAGCACTGTTCAAGGATTGATTGATCCTCAAATTCCTCAACACAGTTGCTCCAGTTTTACAGGTGCATAAGGAGAAAAAATTAAGACTTCATCTCTGAAGCCACATGGATTGCTAGTGACAGAAGGCAAGAATCAAAACAACCTTGCTTCTTAACATCTGGTCAGATCCCACAGAGCACACATGTCATAAAATACAAAATTAACCAATCCAGTGAGAAATTAACTACAGGGGAAACAAAACGTATTTTAGTTGCAATCTGGGTAAGACCTGATCACAAACAAGTGTGTAATGACAATTCTAAATCAAAACCAATTGAAATAAAGACTCTGGTTTCAGAGAACTTGCAATAACTTCTCTTTTAAACTAAAAATATTATGTTATCTGGACTTTCAACAGTGTCATCCAGGGAGATTACACCAACCCAAGTTAATAAGACAGATATTCAATTTGAAAAAAAAAAAAACCATGACAAACTACCTCCATACCTGAAAGTTCTGTCATTTTTTCAGCTCTTTTACTCTTGGTTACAATTAAGCCGATCTGGAGAAGGGAAAAAAAAAAAAAAAGGCAAAACTTTTGTTAGCAAGTTTAAAAATAAGTTGATTTACATTTTTGCTATGTTTTGCCTAATACTTCTTTAAGGATCAGATTTACTTAACTATACAAATTTTCTTGTACCAAAAAGAGCACAACACTAACTGTGCCTCCTGTACTTTTGCCACAAAGTACAAAAATAAATCTTCTAAAATTCTAAATGCCTGAAAAAAAAAATCAAGTCTTCTGTGTTAAAATTTATGTTTAGGAAAAAGGGAATAAATGAGTTCTTTCATTAATTCAGGTACAAACAAGAATTTCACCAGACTGATGAAGAAGGTACGGGAAGGAACACATAAATTCAAAACAGTTTACTAGATAGTGTTAAAACTAAACCTAACTTTTAAAATAGTTTTCATTACTTGTTTCTTGTATGGTTGTACATACCTGACTAATAGGATTTTGGTCAAAGTACTCTTCAACAAAATATTCCAATAACTACAAAGAAAAGTTAAGACTGTTAAAAACTAAATAGTTTTATTCCACATGCATTAAGTAGGTAGTACTTGCAAAACATCCATTATAATTAAAAAAAAAAAAGTTGGGTAAAAAGGGCAATGAGCCCTTCCCTTTCATTCTCATTTCACCCTAGTCCTTCCATCATTCACCCTCCTCCTGTGTTACTAATGCACTGTAAATTTCAAAAACTAGCCACATCTTATTTTATTCACTTCAGCTATTAAAGTTCTAGATTACTGTTGGTTCAAACGGAGCTTTCAGATACACCAAAAAGCACTTATCTGTACAAAATGATCAAAACCTAGCACGTCAATGCTTAGTGTTATTAGAAAAGATCATGTATTACAAAATGTACAGTTCAAGTCCTCCACAGTTTGAAGCAGCAATCCAATTTAACTCCCATCTAGCATCCATTCAAATCAGAAGTCATTAAAACACAACTGTAAGAAAAAAAAAATCCAGACGTGTAATGAAAGCATGTTTGTTCTTCTTCCATCTCTTATTATGGGCAACACTTCAGCTTAATTTCCACCTACTTTTCACAATGTGTCTTTCTGCAATATGTCCTTGCAAAGTATTTTTCCTGTATAGAAGCACTCGTGCAAGGCAAACTAATGTCACACACGTTTTACAAGATTACAGACTAGCAACAGCAACAAGCGAAAAAAGAGTAGGGATAAGAAGAGAGATGAGGCTATGCAAGGAAGCCAGTCACAGGAAACTGCCATGCATTTACAGAGAAACTGCAGATTAATAAGAGAAAACTTCACAGAGTACAGAAGTACCTTCAAAGTGCAAGTAAGCCGGTTTGGTTTTAAATCTTGGTCCTCCATAGTTCTTGATCCATCAACAACCACATAAAGGTGACGCATCTGCATTATCACCACAAATGAGAATCACTCAAAGAACAGATATGTAAATGAACTGTTCATTATTCCATTTAATTAAAAAAAGCAACTACTTCCTCTCTCAAACAGGGAAAAATTCAGTATACTGAGCTATGCAATCAACAGCAACTGAAAAAGTTTCCACTTTTCTTTCAATATGAAAAAAAGACTATCTTGAAAAACGCACACTGTTTGCTTCCTCTCACAATAAGCTACGAAATATGCATAGTTTGCACCTTCATCTCTCAATCTGAAGAGCTCAGCATTGTACAATGCTGGTTTTTACAACTCATTTAAATTATGCCCATTTTTCACATGAAGAAAAATCGACATTTCAAGTGTGTGTGATCTGACTGCTGATGCAAAACACACCCAGATACACTGAAAATGCCAAACCTCCACCTCTGAACACTAGTGCTTCACATCCCACTTTGCCAACGAACAAACAATGTTTAAAAAAACCCAAAAAGTTGGGTGGAAAACACAAGCTTGGGTCTCAAGTACATTAAGTCAGCAAAAGTGTATCTCAGATTGGGAATACCACCTCTATTCAAGTAGTTTTGGCCTCAGGACAGACATTAACATACCATTCCAAGTCGAACCTGTCCATGGTGTTCATAGAGTCTAAAAAGCCACAAAAGGGTTTAAGTAAGATGCAAATGAATGAATGGTTCCTAAAACAAAAGCCCAGAACAAATCCAATACTAGACTTCTAGCAATATGAAGCAATAACAAACCACAGACACTTTTTACACTGAAAAAAAAAAAAAAAATTACAAACAGATTTCATGCCTCTCAGAAAACCAACAAAAACTATGTCTTGCTACCAGATTTAAAGGACCTTTAAGATTTGATCCCGATTTGTGTATTTTAACATGATCTGAAGTAAAACAAATCTAGACTTTACCTAGCAATTCTTCTGACAATTTCAAACACAAATCTGGTGTCACGATATCAAAACTCAGGCTTAAAACACGATTTGTGTATTAAAAAAAAGTTGAATGATTTTCTCTAAGCAGTGCTCTGCGCTGTATTTCACCAGGTCAAGACCTCACCTCTTTAGCTAGCACGCATCCAGGGTACCCCTAACCTGTACACATACAATCTTGAGATAAAGGAGAGAAATAAATTTTAGTTTATTTCCTGGCACAATTAGTAAGTAGCAGGCAAGAAACACGAGGCTCTGAAGGGGCAAGGACACAAAAATATATTGCAGACCTGCTGGTACGCTTACTCTATCCAGAGGACTCGGTCTCAGAACGATTAAGTCCTTATAACCGACCAAACCAGTATGATCAGCAAGGTCGTGACAACATATACCTTTTCCTCTTTGCCTTGAAAAGAATGTCCTCGATGGTCGCTTTCAGTGACCCGGATTCATCTTCTTTAAGAATTTCCCTACGCAAAACAGACGGTTGTTGAGCAGAAGGGAGATTTTTCTCGTCTTTCACCAACAAGGTGAGAAAAGGGAGAGCCTACCATGTCCTCTCGTAGCCTCCTTCCCAGCGCTTGGTCCGTTCGGGCTCGTCATCCATCTCGGCGGCTTCGCTGTGCCCCTGCGGATGGCAGCGACGGCCGCGCTCCCGGACGCACCGCAAGCTGCCGACCCCGGCCGGGCAGGCGCGGCTCCCGACGGAGGGGAAGCCCCGTTACGGCGACTGGGAGAGCTGAACGGAACCAGACGCGACCACCAGGCCCGACCATCCCCCGCGCCCCGACCGGGAAGCGCCGCGCGCCCGCTCCGCTCCGCTCCGCCCCGCCCGGGTGCGCTGCCAACCCCTCCCGGCTGCCGCCCCGGCC